AACCCCTGAGCCACACTGGCAGGGCTCAGGCGGGAGTTCCTAATCCGGCATCCCTTAGGGGTTCATTAAGCTCTAAATAAAATTTAGATACAATGTCAAAGTCCACAATTGCTGGCCCCTGTGGAGACAGTGCTAATTTATTACTCCGCACGTGTCATGTCCATATAATGAAATAATTAGCTGGGAAATTATATACGCATCCTCAATATTTATGTACAGTGGGAGTGTCAGTGTAATTAGGCATTCACTGCAGTTTTAGAGAATTGAACATAGAAGCTTTGTGTACAAGTGAGTGTTTTTACTCCTGTTCATTTGCTCCATCCTTGTCTTGGTGATTTAGAAAAAGATGTTTAAATAGAGCCTTTCCGTGAAAGCCCTCGCAGTAGTGTGCCGTATTCAGGTAATTGCCTAAAAGATGGGAAGATAAAAATCACACATGTGGGCAAAGCCTTTCTGGCAAGCTCTCATGGAAGCCAATAGGCTTCGTGCCCTATGATCCAACTATTCGTTATACTCTTGATTATGTTCACTTTCATTTTTCTTTTCATTTCTGTTGTCTTAGACATTGGCAAGCTGAACTACCCAAGAGGGGCCGCTCCTGAGCACAGCCACTGTTCGCCGAAGAAGCGCAAACCCCAGTCCATTTTGGCCGGCACAATTTCCCAACAGTCAGAAAACAGTTGGCCAGTTCACCTACTTACAAATTGAGCTCTCAATTATGCAGAACAGAGTAACATGTTAAAGGTTAGAAACTGCTTTATCTCTGACCAAGGAAAGAATAAATTAGAGTCCCCTTTTGTAAAAATATAAAACAAGCAAACAGAAAACAACAGAAAAAGTGTTGAATTATTTGTTCTTTGCGTTTAGTTTGCAAACAATGTTTAAATGTCTCTTCTGCAATTCTCAATCCATCCTGGTGCCCCCTAATTCACCCACCCTTCCTTAGTGCTCTCACACGGAAACGACGAAGGCAGGTAGGATTAAGGTTCACCGTGGGAACTCAGAGCTACCTGCTTCTGTAACGGTTCCTCCAGTATTTTAAGCTGCATCCTTAAAGACATAACTAAATGGATATGGCCTGGGATATGTTATCTTGTCTGATAATGTTAAAAAATATATTGATGCAAATGCAATCTCTGTCCTTAGAAATCTTTAAAAATAGCACAAGCAGGGATCCATCCTGCGGTCTCCCTGACCCTGGTGTAGCAGGCATAGTTACCCTGGAAAAAGGAAGCTGGACTTGATTTGTGGAGGGTCCTGATATATTTTCCGAGGTGTCTAAGCTTTACACATGTAGGAAAACTGTAAGCAGGTAAATACATATACTATACATTCTAAAGGTTAGCATTCCACTACCTGCTACAAACCTCTTCCACCAAAAGGCATGACTGTGAGCTTGGGAAAGGCTTCAGAAGACAGTTCTCTCAACTTCTTCCCAATAAGTATTTAAAACAGGAGTCAACAAACAAAGTCAGAGTGCCAAGTCTCTCCCCCTCCTCCCTTTCTCCTCCACTTCCGCCTCCTGAAATCCTAACGTATTTACCATCTGGACCTTTCTTTAAAAAGTATGCCAACCCCTGGTTTAGAAGATGGAGGGAAGAAAACAGTCCCAAGGAAATGAACATAGGGCAGGTGACTCAAAAGTGGTTTGCTGACTCGGTAACTTAGTAAGGCCAGAGTGATGTGATGGGACAATTTAGGCCAAAGTCTTGGACCCATATAGGTCACGTGTGAGCCTAATGCATGACACCTCAACTCAGATTTGGGTCTCCTGTGTGCCAACCTGGCTTCCTTAGAAAGCCCATGCATGCTATGGGATCCGTCTGCATCAGATCAGGACTGGGTTGGCACAGCTGGCACGGAGACAAGCCATTTGTGCCCCGTAGGCAACCTCTAGTAAGCTGGTCAAAGAGGCTGGCCATGAACTGACATCCTTCTTCATGGTTTCAGGATGGAGAATAAATGAGACGAGATGCTAAATACAAAAATCCACAGTAAACCTCAGTGCTTTGGCACAGTGTTCTCAGAACCAACCTCGAAAGCCAGTTGCCTTACTTGGGATAGTAATGGTGGCCCAGACGCCGGGACATTGTTCTTTAGGTGTACTGGGCTGCAGCCAAATGCCACTGTGATCTGAAGCTATAGGGAGTTGATAAGTATGTCCCACAACTATAGGAAAGGCCCTGGGAACATGGAAAGAGTCCATTCTAGTTCTAACAGCTCGTCTTTTTATTTTGAACTATTTCTTTTATTTTCTTTGAAAAAAAGAATGAAAACTAGTTAAGGAGGACCCTTCTAAAGAGAGGTAAAGGAAAGACATGAGTCGAAGACTACGCTTGTTCATTCGAAAGGTGGCATACTATGCCTTCCTAACATAAAGAGGTATCTCTTCCCAGGCTGACACACATCTCTATTTAGATATCCTAAACACACACACAATTCAGAAGTCCCTTATTTATAATTGAATTCTACACAGGAGAAAGCAAGCAAATGCAAAACACGGGCCTTTTTAAAAAATAATAAATCCACAAATTCTAATAAGACCCCAAAGAGCTCCCAGGTGTGCTATAGAAATTATGAGAGTGTTGGAACTATAAGGGGCTCCAGACCAAGAACACACTGAGATAAATAAAATTTAATCCAATTTGTGCTGTGTTTTACAGACTAATGCAAATATCTAGGCACTGACAGGAAAACACAGGATGCATAAAAGCCCAGCAGTAATGATTGAGACAATAACCTCTGATTAGTACGTCTATATTGCATGGAACATTAACAATATAAGGCAGGCCGCTCTGGAGACGTAGTCCAGACACATTTATGCTGAATGCGTATATCAGAGCTATTATTTTTACAACCGGAGCTGCAGATGAGTACAAAACTGTTCTCGCTCTAGCAGTGTCACTCTAGCAGTGTAGCTAAATTAACATGTACAGAGGCAATGGGCCGGTGAAGTAAAATCTAAGGAAGCCATCTGCCCAGATAACATGAAGAAGTCGTACAAGCATGTCTAACCTATTCCTTTATTTTGGAGTGAAACGTGAACCTAATGTGGGCTGGAGAGTTGGCAAGAAGTTCACTACTAAAAGAAGCTAGCATTTTTGTATATTTACATAAGAGAAATTTTGTTCCTCAGCCTTGCCTCGCGAGAAATTCTGACAAAATATCATACATACTCTTTTTAACGTTTTCTGATTTAGACTTGGCTAAGATAAACTGATGTGTTTAGAGTGATCATATAGCCCATCCCTCATTTAATAATGCCTATTTAAAATATTGCCCTTATTAATGACTACCAGAACACAGCAGTGTTCATAGTCCCTGTAATTCAATTGCCAGTAGTTTGTGCAATACATCAGGAAAAGGTTAAAATATTTTTCATGCCAGATAGAACGTATCAATCTATTTTATTTGATTATCTTGTGTAATGAGGCTTTCTCTAGGCCAGATTACCTTACTCATTATAATTATGCCAGATCATATTTTTGCTTAAAATGGAAAAGATTAAAAAAACGTCCGCAATCCAGTGGAAACTATTCTAGGGTGTTTTTTTCCCCCTTTATACATTTCAGGACATGAGAAATTACATCCTGTTCTCCTTCAAGGGTAGAGAAGAAAGTAGAAAAGAAAGAAACATTGTTCCCATGAGAAGGAGATTAGGCAAATGGCATCTGGACTACACTCATTTTCTTCACTGATTTGAAAATTCAATAAGATGACTTGTAATATTTTTTAATTCCAAAGTTAAATTCCACTTCTATAAGTCAAGTCCTAAAAATCACTAGAGGACAATGATATCCTCCTAAATGTGGTGACATTTCCTTCGTAGCGAATGCAGGCTGAATTTAACCAATAAAGACGTAAAGACGTTCACATTTTTGTAAAATAATTTCTTGAAGAAAGAACAACACAAAGGCAGTTTTCACACACACACACACACACACACACACACACACACCCTTTCTAGGGTCACCCCTTTTTAAGGCCCCTTCTGGGGATCATTCCCTCCTCAGGCCCTCGTTGAGCTCAAGGAAGTTCCTGCAGAGCCATCATGTGAAGTCTATGTCCCAGCACGTCCACTGTGGTTATGTGCTGGATGGCATTTCTATGTCCTGCTCCTTCCAGGTGTTCCTCCAAATTGAAATAAGGTCACTCTGACCATTAACAGCCCACAAACCTCATGCAGGAAGAAAAGGCCATTGGTCTTCCTTAAATCATAAGGCAGGGCACAGAATGAAGGTGGTAGTCTTAAGGCAAGGAAGCAGGAAAGGGAAAAGAAAGATGACATTAGCAGTGGAGGAATAGTTTTCAGAACTGTACCTTGAAAGATATTAAAGGTTTACTTCCACAAGAATGGCGAGAAAGAAACACTCTAACTGTACGGCATACTGGGAGGGATGGGGAGCACCAGGGACTCTCAGATGCTGCAGGGGGAAGGTAGGAGGGGACAGTCTCCCACCTCTTTGGAAGTTTCTAACAAAGTTAGACATATACCAGCAATTGAAAAAAAAAAAGAATTGCATACGTCCACCAAAATATTTGTATAAATATGTCCAGAACAGCCTTATTCATAATAGTTCAAACTGGAAACAACCCAAATGCCATCAACAGGAGAATGGATAAAATAGTTGTGTTACATGCATACAACACAAATCTACTCCACAGTAGAAAGCAATAAACCACTGTTAATACAACACGATGAATCCCCAAAATCATAGTCTTCAGTCTGACTTCTGTATGGTACATACTATATGGTACATACTGTATGGCTTCATTTATATGAAGTTCAAGAACAGGCGAAACCTATCTGTGGTGATAAAACTCAGCCTAATAGTTACTTGTGGTGGGTCCACAGGTTGATCTGATAGGGAAACTTCTAGGTAACAGGAGCACTCTGTGGTTACATGGGGTATACATTTAACAATTCTTCAGGACAACAGAGGGAACTGTTACCTGCGCTGTATTCCATGTGAAAAGCCCAGCAGCCGGGCTGCTCTTACCTTGTGCGACTGATAATAGTGGAAAGCACCGACTCCACCCTGTTCCTCCGCAGTCCAAAGCACCAAACGGAGAGTCCTCTTTGGACGCAGCCCTGAGGAAAATAATAAAATACACGATCCCTCAGTTGACTTGAACATTTTTTTTTTAATGGCAAGGCCTCTCATCTGCATCCTGGAGGCAGATAGGAGCCGGAGGCACGCGCATCCCTCTCTCGCTGTTGTGGCGGCCTGACTCCGAGTGTGACTGACACAGGGAAGGAGCACCCGCAGGGCTGGTCTCCAGGCAGGTGAAGGTAGAAAAGGGTGTGCAACGGCTGCCTGCAGGCCAGGAAGCCAGAGCCCCTAATCATATCTTTAACTGGACATCCTGCTCCGCAAGACCCAGTGTTCCGTGGTGGTAGATCACATACAGATGCAGTGAGGAGGACTTCAGGCAGTTCGTAGGGTTTCCAGCGATTAACTGAAACCAACCCATTCAATCTATTTCAAGATAAGGTGTGTAGGGAATTGCTTCTTAGTCTATACCCACATGTCAGCTAGCTGCCCATGCTATTCTCGGCAATGTAATCACTGCCAAGCAGAGGCACCATTTATGTTTACCCACATTTTCCTCTCCAGCGTGGAACTATGAGGTCATTCACATAAGGTCAATGAAGATGAACTGAATGAGGAAAACATTCTGCTCACCTTCCTGCTACGTAAACAGCCTGGTAGCAATTTCATTGACTGGGGAAATACACATTTGTATCTTGGAGCTGTTAAAGTTACTGACATGTAGAAGCATTTTTGAGGGACAATGTCTGCTCAGGAAAAGCTAACTACAAGGAAGCTCTCTTTCTCAGACTTGAAAACAATACACTAAAATCCCACTTCGAGACCAAGAATTAAAACCTGGCCTGATTCAGCCCTCACAATGTTTCAGAGAAGTAGCACAGGCAGGAAAACAGGAAGCTGGGCTTGAAATCTTATTAAGAGGATCCACCCTCCTGCCTCACCACGGGGGAGCCCCAGGGAAAGACTTTGAGTGGCTCTGAGCTGGACGCACTGCAAATCCCAAGTACATTCACGCAAGTGCTGCCCTGGGCGCCTGGCCTTCAAGGCCGCAGCTGCTCGACTGCAGCCGGGTGATAAGTGCTCCCGGGGAACAGAGCGCTGCCCTGCCTCCTCCAGCACCAACAATGTTCTCCTGTTATAAGCCTAGGGCAGTGGTCGGCAAACTGCGGCTCTTTGGCCCCTTGAGTGTGGCTCTTCCACAAAATACCACGTGTGGGCGTGCACGTACAGTGCGACTGAAACTTCGTGGCCCATGCGCAGAAGTCGGTATTCTGTGGAAGAGCCACACTCAAGGGGCCAAAGAGCCGCGTGTGGCTCGCGAGCCACAGTTTGCAGACCACTGGCCTAGGGCGAAGGAGCGGAAAAGGAGCTACGTTTGTCACCAAATTGAATATCGTGGTGAAGCCACTGTACACCTGAGAATTTTAACATAATTAGAAAAGCACAGGTTTAGGACGCAGGCTAACCCAAGTTCCAATGAAAGCCTGGGCAAGCCGTTTCCACGCCCAGTTGCTCAGCAAATCCCACTGGTGTTTTCTTCTAAGTCTACCTAGAAGCCAACTCCTCACTCTGCCAGGACTCTGGTCCGAGCCCCACCCTCTTTCGCCTGGATTGTTGCAGTCGCTCCTAACGGCCCCCCTGCCACCGTCCTCGCCTCTCTGCAGGTGACGCTCCACACCTTAGCCAGGAGGACCTTTTTAAACTTAAACCAGATCACCTCCTTTCTCTGCTCAAAAAACCCCAGTAGCCAGACTGGAAGCTTCTAGGAGGCAGGGGATTATGTTTTCTGATTCGCTGTGATGCCCCCAGGGCCTAGAGTGCTGGGCACACATTAGGTGCCCCATTGATAGTTGGTGAATGAAGAAATGAATCCAAAACTTGGCGTCCAACTTAGAATAAAATTCAAAGCCCTCCACCACGTTTCCAGCCACATCTCCTAAAACTCCTCCACTAGTTCACTCCCAGGCAAGCTTATGGTTACAAAAGGCAGGCAGGTCTGGTGAGCTCTGCTATCGTTAGGCACCTGTCGTGTCACCACTGGAAATTGATCTAGCCGAACTTCTGTTTCCTAGTCTGAAAAGAGGAGAGAATATTCTAGGCCTATGCCATCACGATTTCACAGGGTGGCTGTGAGGATTAAATGAGATGAGCGTGTAAGTAAGACTATCCTGTGCCTGGCATGTAATAGACATTTGATAAATGAATTATAAATCTACATAATGGATATCCAAGCACAGAGCACACACTTTTACCCACAGGCAGAAGGGGAATCTAAATACTCAGAGAGGACGTCTGCCAAAGGCATTCAAATGCCTGCTGAAAAAGAGCCCGAAGTTGCCCACTGCCTGCTCCAGTCAAACCACCAGCTCACCACATTCACGGCGCAACCTTAAACTGTTGGAGGAAGAAATCTAATCAGTGTATCTAAAGATCATAATTGGTTTGTCTAAAAGAAGTGTGTTTAATGTCAATTTAAATCAAATGACACTTGGCTTGCAACATAGAAAAATATTGGGCAGAATAAAGTACAGTAAATGAAAATTCTGAACATTTTCCAGATCCTTAAAAAGGGGGAAAATGTACCTTCTCTTTACATATCTCTGTGCCTATCAGCAAAATAGTTACCAAGTCATTAAAATGGTGAAATTCTCTAAATCAGCAGTCGCCAACTGGTGGTCCGTGAGGTCCAAAAGATTGGCGACTGCTGATCTAAATAAAGATCAAGAGGCAGTTAGCACAGGTTTAAAAAAATTATTTTTTAAAAGAAAATGCCATGAATATCCCTAAAGATTTGGTGTTCCACTTGAAAAGCATATCATACAGAGTCAGTCCCCTTCACATTTCAAATCAGCCAGATGACCAATGATGTTCCACTAAAATGATAAAGAAGTTGCCCATTTGAAGCAAGGAATGCTAAAGCTCCCAAACAACAGCGTAGCTGTGGGTGCATGGCTGGCCCTGGAAAGACCACCTGAAGGCGCCACCTTCAAGCCCTTGAGAAGCTCAGGACCCATCAGCAGGAACACCAGCACCGACTCCACATTCAAGAGTCGGTTAGGAAACCAGTGGTCAAGCAAAAGCCTGAGTAGGCCCCCAAATCTCTCTCCACGTCAACATTCTCCTGTCCCTAAACCTAAAAGGAATACCTGGGACTTCATTCAATGCCTAGACCAGCCGTGGGCAAACTACGGCCCGCGGGCTGGATCCGGACCGTTTGAAATGAATAAAACTAAAAAAAAAAAGACCGTACCCTTTTATGTAATGATGTTTACTTTGAATTTATATTAGTTCACACAAACACTCCATCCATGCTTTTGTTCCGGCCCTCCGGTCCAGTTTAAGAACCCATTGTGGCCCTCGAGTGAAAAAGTTTGCCCACCCCTGGCCTAGACCCTGCCGCTAATATGGGGCTTGGGCCTCCAGGCTGCCTTAGTCCACACATGGGCGGTGAGGGTCACAGAAAGGGATTGGCCTTGGAATCTGAACAAGCGTTGATTGACTCCCTGCTGTGCCACCCCTGGCTCTGTGACTTTATGTTAATTACCTAATCTCTCTGAGCCTCAGTTTCTTCATCTATACAAGGAAAATGGTAACTGCCTTATGGGATGGTTCAGAAAACAAAATAAGGCAAGGACATTCCAAAAACAGTCTCTGGCACATGGTAGGTGTTCAAGAATTGTTAGCTTCTCTCTACATCACTCCACACGCTTTCAGTCGGTGCCAATAATGACCAGCACAATCTTAGTCCCACAAGAAGTATATTTATTCCTTAGGCGCCATAGAACACCTTTGTTTAAACAGAATGTGTTCCCAGCCAAGAAAAAATATATAAATTTTATCTAACTTGTAGAAAAACACATAACATCTTTCAGTATGGAATGCTCCTTCATCCCAACATGGAGCATATCCCAATCCAAATAAACAGAAACAGCTTCCTCACTTTAAAATGAGGGCTGATTAGAAGAATTCTTAGTTTCTGGATAAAGTAAAAAAAGCTTAATAAATCTGAAAACTGGACAAAAAAGCTACAGATATAAAGCTATCTATATTGACCGTTTTAAAATAACATATTGTGTATCTCAAATCCAAACTAGATTTAAAAGCTGAGAATTTTAAGTATATAAAATAACAATAATAAAGCAAAAATAACAATAGCAACACAATGTGATATGAAGTCAATTGTGCGAACTGTATTTGGTAGTAGAACTTCGGTAAACGACCAGCTCAGGAGTCATCGTGGCTCAAACTCTGGCCCTCGCTCCGTGGCGTACAGCCCCAGGCCAATAACATATTGTGTATCTCAAATCCAAACTAGATTTAAAAGCTGAGAATTTTAAGTATATAAAATAACAATAATAAAGCAAAAATAACAATAGCAACACAATGTGATATGAAGTCAATTGTGCGAACTGTATTTGGTAGTAGAACTTCGGTAAACGACCCAGCTCAGGAGTCATCGTGGCTCAAACTCTGGCCCTCGCTCCGTGGCGTACAGCACCGGCCCAAGGCAAGCGCATGAAAAGAAGTTTTAGAATTGGAGGTGAGAGGGAAGACCCCGGTCTTAGCTGGCTAGACGCAGGTCTCACTGAGGTTTTGTCAGAAGACAGGCGATCAGTTCCCCCATCATGCATACAAACTTCCCAGAGATCTTTTGACCTTCTGGAATTTCTATTAAGAACTCTGAATGGAACAACAAACATTTTACAACATCATGATTTTCCTCTAAAAAACACAGACCATTAATAATGTGTCAGAGTTTTGCCTTGTTTAGAAATATTGACATAAACGCATTTCACTTTCATTTTATTGAGAGTAATAATGCTATTGGGAAAATAGTGCCTATGAGAAAAGGTGAGAACAACCCGGTTGGACTTTATTTTTCATTACTATCAAACTTAAAGATGACAAGGCTGAGAGGCGACTTCCCTTAAACTCTTCAATTGAAAAGGCAATTTGACTGTCTTACACTTGCACCAAGAGTGGGGCAAAATAAAATCAACTCAGATTAATCCCACCTTGAAGATAGCTTTCCCAAATC